ATTCAACAGTAAATCTCCCGACCGTGAAACGTAATTCGCTCCTGGGGCGGTGCACTTTGAATGCTCTCAAGTTGGCACTAACAGTGACTGTCGCCGAACAGTGTTCATTGCGGCAACTGTAGAAAAGTATAAAGGAGAATGCATATCGTCACAGCACAAGAAATTATTTGGTACATTTCGATTAAATACTCGTGAGAAATACATCCAACACTTCCAAAATACCCAGTACTTGTAACAGTTCCTACAAATGTTAATGAAAATGCTTCCTTGATTGTGTTTCTAGAATTCGCATAATTGGACCGTCAATACAAACTGGATCTTCGAAACCGAGATTCAGCTATGCTTAAATTCCTGGTCAACAATAAACTCCATGAGAAGCCTCTGCCAACCTACTTTCTTACGTTTGATTATATGGCCATCAAAGGAAAAGCCACCCAAGCACTGGCTAGGGAACCTTCCAGTGGCCAGTCACTTCATTAGAGGTATAGAGTTGGTGAATACCTACAAAGGAAAACTACCAGGGTTATTAACCCAATTCAGCGCTCCGTAGCCTTTACCTTGTCATTCTAGTTGCCCCTCTTGCCTAACCTGCTCTTTTGATATCTTAATCCCCGTTGTCCATGAAAGTTGTTTCCGTAATGTGAGTTCATAGTTCAAGTTTTTTTGTTTCGACATGGCGAGTCTGTTTATCGGGTTTTGTACATCTCGGGCGTGGCCGGATCTTTAAAGGCCAAATTACTTTAATTAAATAACAAAAGACTCTACCGCGTGAAAAGGGCAAAGCAAAAAACAATGTGTACAAATTAGATTTGCTGAAGCGAGTCACTTTTCTATAAATCTAGTTTTATGTATAGCGAGTTTTTCTACCGCATTCCTCTTACTGGAGAGAGCAGAGATGGACATTTTCCGTATGACACCCCTCTAACTGAAAATCACAAGGCGACGTCTGGGAGTGTTCTCATTGCGAGGGTTTCCTACTACTACTACTACTACTACTACTACTACTACTACTACTACTACTACTACTACTACTACTACTACTACTACTACTACTACTACTACTACTACTACTACTACTACTACTACTACTACTACTATAATTATTATAACTACTATCATAACTACAATCACTACTGAACTCACAATACGTACTACAACTACTATCAAAACTACCACTACTGCAGTCATAACTTTCTCTAATATTACTACAGTCATAAGTACCACAACTACTACTCCTGCAAACATTACTACTACTATCATGACCCCAACTACTGCAATCCTAACACCCACTATTACAATTACAATCATAACCAACTACTACAACAATAACCACTGCTACTACTACTACTACTACTACTACTACTACTACTACTACTACTACTACTACTACTACTACTACTACTACTACTACTACTACTACTACTACTACTACTACTACTACTACTACTACTACTACTTCTACTACTACTACTAGTTCTACTACTACTACTACTTCTACTACTACTACTACTACCACCGCTATCACTACTGCTACTACTACTACTACTACTACTACTACTACTACTACTACTACTACTATAATTACTATAACTACTATCATAACTACAATCACTACTGAACTCACAATACGTACTACAACTACTATCAAAACTACCACTACTGCAGTCATAACTTTCTCTAATATTACTACAGTCATAAGTACCACAACTACTACTCCTGCAAACATTACTACTACTATCATGACCCCAACTACTGCAATCCTAACACCCACTATTACAATTACAATCATAACCAACTACTACAACAATAACCACTGCTACTACTACTACTACTACTACTACTACTACTACTACTACTACTACTACTACTACTACTACTACTACTACTACTACTACTACTACTACTACTACTACTACTACTACTACTACTACTACTACTACTACTACTACTACTACTACTACTACTACTACTACTACTACTACTACTACTACTACTACTACTACTACTACTACTACTACTACTACTACTACTACTACTACTACTACTACTACTACTACTACTACTACTACTACTACTACTACTACTACTACTACTACTACTACTACTACTACTACTACTACTACTACTACTACTACTACTACTACTACTACTACTACTACTACTACTACTACTACTACTACTACTACTACTACTACTACTACTACTACTACTACTACTACTACTACTACTACTACTACTACTACTACTACTACTACTACTACTACTACTACTACTACTACTACTACTATAATTATTATAACTACTATCATAACTACAATCACTACTGAACTCACAATACGTACTACAACTACTATCAAAACTACCACTACTGCAGTCATAACTTTCTCTAATATTACTACAGTCATAAGTACCACAACTACTACTCCTGCAAACATTACTACTACTTCATTACAACTATCCACTACCACTACTACTACAATCATAACAACCACTATTACTATCAGAATTACCAACATAACTATCATTATTACTATTACAGTCATAACAACTGCTACTATTACTACTACTATCATGACCCCAACTACTGCAATCCTAACACCCACTATTACAATTACAATCATAACCAACTACTACAACAATAACCACTGCTACTACTACTACTACTATAATTATTATAACTACTATCATAACTACAATCACTACTGAACTCACAATACGTACTACAACTACTACATTCATAACAACCACCACCATTACCACAACTATAACCAGTACAACCACAACTGCAATCACAACTACCACTACTGCAGTCATAACTTTCTCTAATATTACTACAGTCATAAGTACCACAACTACTACTCCTGCAAACATTACTACTACTTCATTACAACTATCCACTACCACTACTACTACAATCATAACAACCACTATTACTATCAGAATTACCAACATAACTATCATTATTACTATTACAGTCATAACCACTGCTACTATTATAACTACGCTACTACAAATACAATCATAATAACCATTACTACGACTATCACAGCTACCACTGCAAACCACTATCACAAGTAACATTACTACTACTAGTCATAACCACTACCACTACTTCTACAACTATCATAATTACTACTACAACTACAATCATAACAACCTCTACTACTACAACTACTATCAAAACTACCACTACTATGAGTCATATCAACCTCAACTCCTACTACAAATACTATCACAACTATTTCTGCCGCTGTTATATATATATACTCTCATTACCATTATTATAGTCACTGCTCATTTCAGACTATCCTTTCAACAAGATAAAATATATATGCACATGATTAAATACAAATGCCAAACCAAAATAAAAATAAAAACATATAGGTAAATGAAAAAAAAAACATTTAATTAGCAGTAGCATTTATTGATACAATATACTTCCAAACTTCTATCCATTAGTTTGAAACAGTCATGTAAAACATCACTTAACAATAATGATCCCTTAAAGAATATGAACAATTAAACATGCACACGTGGACATATCCCCAAATATATACAAAAAGCATTTTTCCTTCCCCCTCCCCCCAGTAAAGATATAAAATGAAGGAAAATCATCTTCAATAAATAAGTGATGTGGAATTCAGTCACAGAATAAATATTTCTGGTTGGAGGAGAGAGGGAAGGAGGTGGAGGTGGTGATATATGAGGTGGATGGGGGTACTGGAGGAGGAGGGGAGAGGTGAAGGAGGAGGAGGAGGGGAGAGGTGAAGGAGGAGGAGGAGGGGAGAGGTGAAGGAGGAGGAGGAGGGGAGAGGTGAAGGAGGAGGAGGAGGGGAGAGGTGAAGGGGGAGAGGTGAAGGGGAGAGGTGAAGGGGAGAGGTGAAGGAGGGGGAGAGGTGAAGGAGGAGGAGGAGGAGGAGGAGGAGGAGAAGGAGAAGGAGAAGGAGGAGGAGGAGGAGAAGGAGAAGGAGAAGGAGAAGGAGAAGGAGAAGGAGAAGGAGAAGGAGAAGGAGAAGGAGAGGAGAAGGAGAAGGAGAAGGAGAAGGAGAAGGAGAAGGAGAAGGAGAAGGAGAAGGAGAAGGAGAAGGAGAAGGAGAAGGAGAAGGAGAAGGAGAAGGAAGGAGAAGGAGAGAAGGAGAAGGAGAAGGAGAAGAAGGAGAAGGAGAAGAAGGAGAAGGAGAAGGAGAAGGAGAAGGAGGAGAAGGAGAAGGAGAAGGAGAAGGAGGAGAAGGAGAAGGAGAAGGAGGAGAAGGAGAAGAAGATACAAAGAACAAGCAGATACATAAAAAAAGAAAGAGAGGGAAAAAAAAAAATTACAATAAATTATCCTATCCTTTACATACTGCAGTTGGCACACCTTAATACACCATTATCTTAATGGTACACAAAGTTTCAGCAGCGAGTCGTATGAAAGTTCACTTGTGCAAAAGACAATTGTCATCCAGAACAAGAACTTGCAAAACATTCCTTCTTGTTTGAAAACTAGTAAAGACAGTATATAAGTACCCTCTTCATTATATTGAACATACACTGAGCAAATTAATCTTTTCAAAACATCGTATGTCAGACACATGAATGACAGCATACATGTCATATCACAGATATTGTAGTTATAAATACATTTATAAAACAGACCAGATCAAAGGAAAAAAACACTACATTTCTTGCTACTTCATGGTGGACACATCAAAAAAGAAAAAATAAATAAATAAAAAAAATAATGATAATAAAATAAAAAAAATAATTAATAAATATATACATATAGGGGGGGAAAAAGATATATGATTTTATGTTCTAGTTCCACTCATTTTACTTCTTAAAAAGTGGAAGTCCCTAAATTATCACTGATCCTCACCATAACATTACCTCAAAAACTCTCACTCACTCACTCACTTTCTTCCATAAAGTGGATACAAGTGGAAACAAGTAGACTGATATAACTGGCAGAAATAGGAAACACTAATAATGCAATATATCTGCAACCCAAGTCACATTATGAAAAAAAAAAAAAAAGGGACAAAGGAACTATTAACTTATGTTGCCCATCAACCTTTTAAATAAAACATGTATAACTTCTATATTCATGAAACAGATAAATGAATTTAGCAAAATCTGATAGAATTCAAATATCTGCTGTAGTTTAACAAGAACAAATTAAAAGATCTATTCTCATCACTAAGATTCCTAAACATCACTGTTCCTAAAGTCAAGGGATCCTACATTACTCGAGTCCCCACCCCCCCACATAAAACAAAGAGAAGAGTGAAAGTTGAATAAGTTTGAGTAGTGGTTAATGAAAAAAAAAGCTGCTATCATGACATTTGGCACTAAAACAAACTGGCTATCTATTGCATTACCAAACTATTCACTGTAAAAATGACCCATATAACAAGTCCCAGCAATATTTGGGACACCGAAGGATGTTATTTTTTTCCTTAAATAGTATAATGGAATGAAAAATGACTCTCAATTACTTCGATTCCTCTATAAAACTGAGAGATTCTACATGGAAGAAGCAATACAGCTTGTTCATTATTCTCATAATTATGCTGAAAAAAAAGATGATGCTGGCAAACATAACAATAACTAAGATTTTTTTTCTATGACATATGAAATATTCATACTTTAGAATTTTTTTTTTTACAAAATAGATTTAAATAAAAACTAGATATTTGTTTATCTTTTTGGTTGTTTCATTTTATGATCACTGCAATTTTTAAGCTAACTGTAAACAAAGGAAATATCCATAAAGCATATTCTTAAATAAAGTAAAACACTTTAATCACATGGGAGTACATACAGAACTCAAAATACATGACTAACAATCTCTAATCAGACATCATTTACAAGTGTGTCACTGTAATGCCCCAAAACTGAATAAACTTTTTCTTTCTTTAAAACTTACAAATGCACAGGTATATTTCTTCATAATACACAAACACCACATGATACAAAATGAGAGGGAAAATAAAATAAAAATATGACATACATTAGGAAGATTTTGTATGTGCCCAAATCTTTCTCAGATTCCAAAGGGGAATATACATACTTACAAAATCTCAATAAATTATTTTTCTGAAAAATTTCTTTCTGTAATTATGAAGAGTATTCAAATACCATGGCACTGCACTTCTTTTAGCTTTATTTTGAAAGACGTTCTACAAATACCAAATTTATGGATAATCTTGGAGTTATAACAAAAGCTAGAATGTATATCAGCATATCAGTATTTTCAAGACTGTGAATTACAAAAAAAAAAAAAAACATTTCTTTCATACCTAAAATAATGTGTTTATGTAGCTGAAGTACAGGTCTGTTTTTTATTATAATTCAAGAATAAGGAAAAAGAAACCTTTTTTTTTTTTACTTCTTTCATGCCTTAAATAATGTGGTTATCTGTCTTTCATAATCTAACCCTCAAAAAGTTACAGAACATAAGCATAATGTAGAAAATAGGCCTATCATAGTTTGTTAAAGGAGGTAGCAAGCTCTTCAGTGAAGTTCTATTTCTAAAACCTGTATATTTTATAATACATAGTAAAAAAAAGTATAAACAAATTAGAAATAACATAATAATAATAACAATAATAAATATAATAATAATGATAATAATAAAATAACAATAACAATAATAATAATAATAATTGGTGGTAGTGATGACTATGAGCAATGAAGTCAATAAAAATAATGACAAAACCAGATGATGATGATGATGATGATGATGATGATGATGATGATGATGATGATGATGATGATGATGATGATGATGATGATGATGATGATGATGATGATGATGATGATGATGATGATGATGATGATGATGATGATGATGATGATGATGATGATGATGATAAATTAATATAATAAAAAAACTAATAATCAAGATCAAGATAATTATAATTATAATAAATTACATCAAATTCCAGTTGCTGAACATCCACCCTTACATGCATCCACAGCCTTGAAGACAAATCCCATCAAAGAGTGTTCCAGATAATCCACAAGTGTCTGCCAGTATTTCCCGGTCTCTACACATACATACACACATACACACACACAAAAAGAATCAGTGCTATCTCGTGTCGCAGTGCAAGAGGCATGGATGAAAGGATGACGCTGATGCATGGCCAGATCTGCCCCACGGTAAAGGTTTGCACTCCGACCACTCGTTGCGATGATAGTCATAAACTTCCACCGATGACAGGAACTGGCTGCCATCATAGCCACCTGAGGATATTGAAAATAAATAAATTGCTTGATATCAAAAAAGACACACTGAGTGGAATAATCTCATTTTTCTTGAGTTATTTGAATTTCAATTAAGGAGCCTATCTGCTACTTCATAACAATTTACAAATATTAGATTACCATGAACATAAGTTAAGCACTCAAGACTAATAATCAATCCTGACCATTCTGCATGATTTCATAAAAATATCTCGCATTACTTACCCATAACAAATATTTTACCATCCCAAACTGACACAGTCATAGCCGATCTTGGAATCTTGATAGATGCTACAGATGACCATACATCTGTTTCAGTATCATACTTCTCCACAGAACATAGCTGATGGCGTCCATCATAGCCTCCTATCACATATATACAGTTTCTAAGAGAACACACACCAGCACCACTTCGGGGTATTTTCATGGATGACACAAAAGTCCACTGGTTATTTTCTGGATGATAACACTCCACAGAATTCAAACGATGTTCCCCATCATAGCCACCTACAGCATACATTAATCTATTCACCACTGCTACACCAACACCCATCCGCGCCTTTGACATGGGTCGCACTAAAGCCCAAGTGTTGTCATCAGGGTCATACTTTTCAACACTACTGTGAAATCGTGCACCATTTGATCCACCAACAGCGTACAGTTGTCCATCCAGCACTGCCACCCCTAATCTGTTTCGTGGCGTGTGCATGCGAGACATCTGCCTCCAACAGTTGCTAATGGGGTTAAAGGAGTCCACCCAGTTGCTGTCATGATAGTTTCCGTTTGGGAGAATGTTTCTCCCTCCCACCGCATAGAAGATTCCTCTTAAATAGGCTGCACCAAGACCTGACCTGGAAGATGTAAAAACATTTCTTGAAATGTTTAAAAAGAAATAGGAATAACTCACTGCAATAAATGTTTTAAAAAATTACTACACTGAGATGAAACAAAATTACCTTAAAAAATTATTACAACCACCTTTTGTACCACTTGCTAAAAGACCTCTAGGTAACCTTAACCCCTATGATCCAGAAGATGTGATCATTGCCTCATGAAAAAATTTGGCTTAAGGGCCAGGTGACGCAAACTTGCCATCGTGAGCATTTCAGCTCAAGGCCAGGGTGACAAGAGAGACTTGCCGCAAGTGCACAAACCTCTCAGAGGATGATTAGGCTGATTTAGAAAGGGGTTTTTGCATTATTTCCATCAATAAACTAGTGTGGAATGTAGTGTCTGCAAGCCATGACAGACAGAGCACCAGCTCCAGGAAGGATGCCATTTCCATGCTCAGCATCCTATTACTGGCTGCTGTGACTGGTAGTGCATGTTGTATTACAGGAAACTGAATGTCGTGAATTTTTTCTTACAATGACACAAATAAAAAAATATTACTTATCATTATTCTTGCACTCAGTTATGGACTACCTAAAGAGACAAGCATAAAAATATTTATGTATAAAACGAGAAAATAACATAGCAAAGGGGAAGCATACACTCTTGTCACTGCACACAGGTGTTTATATATATATATATATATATATATATATATATATATATATATATATATATACACAAAAAAAACAACAACAACATATATATGTATATGTATTTGTAAATATATGTATGTGTGTGTGTGTATGTGTATGTGTGTGTGTGTGTGTGGGGGGGGGGGGGAGTGCATGTGCACGTACATGTATGTTTGTGTATATGTGTATATATGTATGTATGTATGTATGTATATAATATATATATATATATATATATATATATATATATATATATATATATATATATATATATATATATATATATATATATATATACACACAAATCCCATAATTTTCACTCCCAGCTTCATTAACAGACAGGAACTAAATATTTAATTCTCTTTCAACTTGGTCCATTTTATTGATCAAATAGATGACAGAAAACACGACTCACAAACCTTGCAACTGGAAGTCTCGAGAGCTGTGTCCACTGATGGTCCTCAACATCATAACATTCTAAAGTATCCAATGACTGCTGGTTGGAGTACCCTCCTACAATGTAGATGACACAGGGAGCATTCGGCGTTCGTTCCTTTTGGCAGGGAGGCTTGTGCAATGTTAAATCCTGGAAAAAATTAATATACAGATTAATAATAATCATTATCATTGTTACCATCATAACTATTATAATTCTTTTTTAAATGATGGACAGATTCTCAACCAGTTCTTCACAAGTGTAACAAGAACATTCATTTGACTATAGTATACATATTGCAAGCAATGTTTCAACAATATATTTAATATAGACAGATTCTAATGAGGTCTATATACTACAAAGGATATATCTACCCATTTCTCATTCCTTTCCCATTATGTAAGCATTTTCATCAATTTCAATTTGATTTGACTGCAGGCAATGCTATTAATTACAACAACTTATAAATTTAAGATAAAAATATTTCAAAACTAAAACAAACAAATTTATGGCACTACACACATTCCTTCCATAATTTCCCAATACAGTTCTGGATCTGTACCATACAAATATACTACATAACACACAACAGCTTAAGAAGGAAATATAAAAAAATAAAGGACTGAGTGACTCACCTTAAAGATTTTCGCAAGATATTCCCTGCATGCCGGAGCCTTCTTCAAAAGCCTGCAGTTTTTCATTTGCTCCGTCAAGAATCGCGGTGATAAATACTGACATCTGAAAGGAAAGCAAATCATACTCCCATCATTTTCTTAGAAACATTAAGAATATGATTGAGATTTATGCTAAGAAATCAAAGGGGATTTAAGTGCTTGGGAATGAACAGCTGGCCTAGACACCTAGACAAGGCTTTACAGGTACCAGTCTACACATTTGAGTGGATGCCAAAAATATCTAGTAACTATATTTATCAAACTGAAGAGTTAAGGGACCCCTTAATAATGATCAAACTGGAAAAGATGCAAGAAAAAAAACAAAAAAAAACACCTATAAAGAGCAGGAAAAAAATACATTCTATAAACTAAAATAGGAAAATATCTAAATACAGGACAACATCTAGGGACACACATACATAGGGAACTAAATGAATTAAACCTTGTATATACAGAACACAAGAGTTAGGGTAATATTCAAGCAGGAAGTAATAAAGAATAATGAAGAATTGGCAGAGTAATGGAGTACAATTTCGGGGCAGCTGAGAACCCCAAAACAGACAACAGTCAAGTGCAGACACCAAGTGATCATAATGAGAGCTGACAGACGGGTAGCCAGGACACTTCCTATCCCAGAAGTTGAGGGTCAAGCGTAACATATTTCAAAAAGTACACCATAAATCAATCATGAACCTCTAAGATGAAGAATTAGGGGAATTCAATCAAAACAATGCTCAAGAACTTTCATCTCAAAATTTGTGCAAAGTACGAAGAACAACAGAGAGGTGTGGAGCTCAGGGTGCACACCCAGAGGTGCTGAACTTTGTTCCTGGCTTGCCTTGTGCTCTAGAAATAAGACAGGCAGTTTGATCACCTGTGAGAAGTGATGGGGAGGTAAACCCAGGTTACTCAGATAATGAGCAAGACAAGCAAGTCACCTGTAACACACAGGTATACTACAGGTTAGTTTCAAGAAGGGCAATAAACTAAAGAAAATTAGATATTATTAGATAAAAACATATTATCTAACCTAATCAAACTCAAAGGGAAAAGCCAACCTGTCACTAATATTTGGATAAATCAAGTAAACAATTTAAAAAAAAATGAAAAAAATAAAAAAGGAGGACAAGGAAGACACCTAAAAACTACATAACTTTCCATACTACTAACCCAAAAGGGGGAAAAAAAATCTAACATTGATAAATAGGACAGAGAGGACAAAAAACAAAGAAACAACCAAGAGTAGAAGACACACTAGCTTCACACATCAATGAGAGATATTATAAGCCCATACCTGACAGCCTGCAAGATCTGCTCCATTTTTGGTTGCCGTGTCTCTTCATCATGCCTCACCCACTTCAGCACTGCGTTATATACATCCTTTTCATCAGGTACATTCAATTCATCCCTTTGAATTAGGTGAACTAATTCACAGTCTGATAACTGCAAAAATTCATCTTCCATGGATACCTGTAAACAATGGAAAACATGGTTACAAAATGCTTCAACAACAATTTCTGTAGATGCTGCAACTATGGTTTACCAACTCATTTTTGAATGAAAGTCTGAAACAACCTATGGCACTAATACCCCACTCTTGCTGAATGTCCACAAATGAAATGGAGCACTTGCAGATGAGTAACTTAATTCCAGGGGTTATCTTGTATATCAAGGATAAAATATGAAGCTTTACCACTTAGGGTGAACAAGTGAAACTTCCTGCCTAACACTTGTCATAACTCTTCGCAGCCTACCACAATTTTCTTTCTACTGAAACTCATGTTTGATATGTCTATTTAACACAGAGATTATAAAAATATCAACTACTTAACTCATAGATGAATTCATTGCTTTAGGCTGGTTTATGCTTTCTATGAATTTCCTTGTAACTAAATTGTTTAGGAAGAAAAGTGCCTTAGAAGTGTTTATGAGATACCAGTTTTTTCTTTTCCCCATACAAAAGGGCAGAGGAAGTGGAGCTTCTTTATTTTTCAAAACTGTTGTATCATGTGAATACAGTCCTAAACCTGAAGTAAACATCAGAATATATGGGCTCAATTATGTGCCAGAATATACAGTATACTGAATGAATTTATAAAACAAATTGTCTACCCCCATTGATGTAAAGAAAACTTGAAAAAAAGACAAGACAATCCAATGTTGCCGGGAAAATGCTGTGCCCATTTTCTTTTCTTTTTTTTCATTATTTTGAAATGTCTCTGCAAGTATTTAGCTACAAAGGAGTCAATTAGTAGACCTTGTGACTACTAGGTTAAACTGGTTAAACTGGCAGGAAAACCTTTTTTATACTAATGCTATGAATATCAATGATGTTATTTTCCTTAAAGACATTGTAATTACTATAATGTTAACAGGCAGTACTTGTAATTGGCTCATTGGTGACTTAGTACAAGTGTAGCCATTTATGTGTAAAAACAATTAATAAAGTAAGCTCCCAGTGGGCATGGCCCGTCAGATATGGGTTAATCACACTATCATTAAATAAATTTGTGTCAGCCAAGAGGTGTTGTAGCAGATCCTTTACCGACAAACTAGATCAAGTATGACTGTTGCCAGTTCTCAAAGAGCTTAAAACTGATGTGTTTGAACTTTGCAGAAATAGAATAAAGCAATAAAATAAAAAGCAAAAATATGATGGAAACATGGACTATCCTTTAGTTAGTTAAAAAAGAAAAAAAAAATAATAATATAATACAAATCCCTAAAAATGACATTGGAATCTTTTGTAAGGCTTTCATATCTTCAAAAACAATTATGCTTCATCATTCTGGATGTTCTCAGCATGACTAGACATATCTTATGCTAAGTGGCCATGAGATGCATCAATGCAACCAAGCTGTCTCGATCTGTGCCTTACATATTTATATATATATATGAATATGTAAAAATTAAAAAGACATCAATCGATGCTATGTTTTAAAACAAGTCTTAAATATCAGTATCAGTCCAACAGTTTGTGTTTATGTACATATGTATATATGTACGTATAAATGTTTGCATATGTATAAAAATACACCTCGGGCACTTGCTCTATAACACACCCATTAACAATAATAATAATCATCAAATTAACACATCTCTCACCTCAGAAAAATGCTGCTCAATGAAGGTATTGGCTTTGCGGTACAAGTCCATGCAGCCATGTTGTTGGGCAAAGCTGGCTATACCTATGGCATTCCCTGCCTCAAGCTGCTGCTCTAGGAAAGTACAGCAAGCGTCAATGACATGACTCATCTGAAAAAGACATTAACGTTATTAAATGATGTCACTAGTGTATCATTATACACTTAAGCCTTTACTACTATAAGCTGCTTAATAACCATAAAGTCATATATCCTTAAAACAAAGAGGCTTTTCAACTTTCTCATCAGGACACACAATGAGCAGATAACTACTTTCATGGACACACACACACGCAAAAAAAAAAAATAATAATAATAATTAATTAATTTAAAAATTAGAATAAAAATACACTGCTTACACACCTGTAGCATGGTTGCTGCGGGTAGAAGCTGGCAGACAAGCATCTCATTAATGACGATCTCACCAGTATACATAAAGCACAGGAGGTGAGCCAGGACTGTCGGACATACTCCTTGCAGCTTCACAGTGTCCATCTCACACTCCCTCAGTCCGCCGGTAAACATTGCCTGTAATAAGTACCTTGCTTTTGGTTTTTGCTAGTGACCTGATAGTCTGGTAAAACAAAGACTGCCAAATGAAGATTATGAAGATAATGATGGAGACGATTATAATAACAACAATATAACAATAAGAATAACAAATTTACATGAACTAAACCACAGACTACTGAGAATTACCCTATACCACAACAGCAGGAAAACTCGCACACCCTCACCTTGAAATAAGGACTAGCGGCGGCTAGGACAATTTTGTGACCATGGAAGATTTCTCTGCCGACCTCCAACTTCACGTCCGTCAGCATCTGGTTGCTTTTCATCAACAGCATCATCTGAAAATGGTGGGGTGACCATCAGCCAGGATTTGCCACAAGACATTTGCTATTAACTGAACCATATTTTAGAGCTTAATTTTATAATTTGACGATATTGGAAAAGAAAATTTTAATTATCCAGTTTACTGAAGCAATTTAACAAAAAAAAAAAAAAAAAAAAAAAAAAAAAAACACCTCACTTTAATTAGACATCATTAGACGCTTTACTTTACAAAAGCATCTTCAAGACAATATACCCAAATTATTTGCAACATGGTTCAGACATTATCCTACAATCATCATTCACCCATTCGCGACGGGTAAAAATGAAATGACTCCCTGGGTAATCTATTTCCTAAAATTTCCTATATATATATATATATATATATATATATATATATATATATCTACCCAGATATCGAGGAGAGAGATAGATAGTAGATAGAGAGAGAGATGAGTAGAGAGATGGAGAGAGAGATATATATAGATAAAAACGAGAGAGAGAAAAATAGAGATATAGGATAAAATATAGATAGAGAAAGAGTAGAGAGAAAATAGCTAGAGAGAGGTATAGAGAAAGATAGAGAGGAAACATATAGATATAGATAGACAGAGAGAGAGAGACATAGGAGAGAGAAAAAAAGATAGAGATAACATAGGAAGAAAAACAGCTAGAAAAATCGACAAGAGAGAAAAAACATATAGAAAAAATGATAAAGAGAGAGATAAAAAACAGATATAAAAGTATACATAGATATATACAAAAACATATAGATAAAATGAGTCAGATATAATAAAAAAATGAGCAAGGAGATATATGATATAGAGAGAGAGAAGAAAGAGAGAGATAGAGCGAGAGAGAGAAGGAGAGAGATGAGAGTGAGAGAGAGTATAGACAGATATGGAGAGAGAGTAGGGGAGAGAGAAGGAGGATATAGATGGATAGGAGATAGATGAAGAGAGAGTAGATAGGGAGAGAGGAGATAGAATGGCTATATAAGTATGGCTAGAGAGAGAGAGATAGATAGCGAGAGATGATAGATAGGAGATAGAGAGAGAGGGAAGAGAGGGAGAGAGAGGGATTAATATGGGAAATGGGAGAGATAGATATACAGAGATAGAGAGATTATAGAGAGACAGAGAGGAGAGATAGAGAACAGAGAGAGAGACAAGCTAGATAACCGAGATAGAGACGAGAGATGACAGACATATAGAGATACATAGATAGAGCCAGAGTAGAGAGACATATGCGAGAGAGACCGAGGAGACAGACAGAGAGATACAGACAGAGATACATAAGAAGAGACATACAGGAGAGATAGAGACATGAGAGAAGAGATGACATATAGTATGAGTAGACATAGAGAACATGGAGAGATAACAAAGAGAGAGAGACAAAGAGTAGAGAGACATGAGAGAGAGGAGACTAGATGAAGAAAGAGATAGAGCTGAGACAGAGCGAGAACATAGACAGGAGATAGACATAGATAGAATAGACATTATAGATACATAGAGAGATAAATAGACAATAGAGAGAGAGAAGATAGGAGACAAAGATAGACACAGGATATGAGAGACATATATAGAGACGATAGAGATAGAGACAGTAGAATAAAAAGAGAGATACAAGAGGGAGTATATACATACAGTACAGAGGAGAGAGGGACAGAGAGATACATAGAAGACAGAGGACGAGAGACAGAGGAGATAGAAATAGATATACATATGAGAGAGACAGAGAGCTAGACAGAGGGATAGACATAGAGATAGACAGAGAGAGACAGAATAGACGTAGAGAGACAGAGAGATCGACAGAGAGGAGACAGGTAGATAGAGACAATAGAGACAGATAGAAGACAGAGAGATTATACATAAGACTATACATATATAGATACAAGAGTATAGACAGAGATATAGACAAGAGAGAACAGGAGATAGAAACAGAGATTACTATTAAGAGATAACAGAGATATACATAGATAGTGATACATAGAGAGACCATAGAGAGTATGACAGAGAGAGACATATAGGATACATAGATATACAATAAGATAAGAGAGAGACAGATAAAAAGGTGGGGGAATATACA